AGGTCTTTGGTGGCTGGGATGAGAGTGCCAGCGAAATCAAACCGTGCTTGCATAGCCTGAAAATGTAATAAAGCATTTATACAAACAAGAAGACAGAATACCAGAGAACATTTAATTTATCTCATTAAAGTCAGTATAAAATGAAATTGAACTATTTTCTAAATGCATGTAGATTCTGTTGTAAACATTTAATCAATGCATGTTTCAGTTTTTACTTTTTTCTTTCTGACCTTCATCATAACTGACAGTGAAATGACAGCCTTCTTTCTGGTGATGTAAACCCATCCCTTTCTTACAAATTACTGCAAGCTCGTATTCAGATACACTGGGATGTAATCACAATAGAGATCCTTTATGTGCATAGCGCAGATATTCCAGGATTAATTAAAGTCGTTGCCAAAGCTTAATACTTCGGGTTTGGGGTTTTAGAAAAAGTACAACTAATTAACAAGCACAACTAATTAAACCACCTTTGTAGGTTTCATGGTTTGTACCTTTTTGGTGCTGAGCCTACTGGGTGCAGGAAGGTCTCTAGTCCATTCCAGTTTGTCTAGCTCCACCTTGTCCATGTGAAGCCATACCTTCTGTGGCTTGATGGGCAGCTCCTCCTCTGCAAAAAATAAAAATAAAAGACTTTCAGTTATTTAAAAACCCTATTCACATGTATATTGACAAACACATACCACATGCTGACGGCAGTGTAACTATAGAAGAACTGTTCTCTGAACGGTAACCTCTGGTGTGCTTCATCCATAAATGTCATTGAGTCCCTCTTATCTCTATTACCTTAAAACAAATTGGTGCTTGCTCTAGCTAACTCTGCTCTAATCAGACTAATTGAAATTGATGCATCTGCCTTAGCATGCTGGGCTCACAGCTTAGCTGGACAGATCTGCAAAGTGTACAGTCCAGAATATGTGTGGCCAGTTCCAAGCCCAGGGTGAATAAAGAACTGGAAACCATCCAGCTGCACTTGTGCTGACAAGATTGAGAAGACACCGTCCTGTACATTAGCTTTACTTTCTAATGCTGTATGCATGCAGACTAGTCCAAATACCCCATTCAGCCTTCTTCATGAGTAGCATTTGTCAAATAAACCACAAATATGTAGGTTTACCTTGTTTTTACAACATTTCATCACAAAGCAAATGGTAGCTATATTATGTGATCTGTTGCTGCTAAATAAGCTCTGAAATCACTTACCTGTAATTGGAGGCTGAACTACAAGCGGATTCTCATCTTCCTCATAATCCTCCATGGTATCCCTTTGAGATTCCTGAGCTTTCATTGTGTGGTCTAACTCTGTAGAAGTGCTATTAGGCGGAAAGTTTTCTTTTTGCACAGGCTTGGATGATGACTCAGATTCTGGTGTTCTCTGTGCCTTCCGAGATCTCACAAAGTCCACTAATCTAGGGTCTGACATAATGCAACAATGTGAGCTCTAAAACTCTTAAATATATTAAAAGAATAAAATCAATAAAACAAAAATAAGAAAATGGTCAGTGAAAGGGTGCTTAAATTACAACAAAAAAAAACTTGCAACCTTGTTACTAAAATATGGGACATTTTCTGGCAACAAACATTTATACTACTGTTGAGAAGTAAAGTTAAAGTTTTTGAAAGAAGTCTCTTTTGTTCACCATAGCTGCTTTTATTTGATCAAAAATGTAATAAATTTGTATGATTTTTATAACATAGTAAATGTCTTTACTGTCACTTTTGATAAATTGGATGCATGATAAAAGCATAACTTTCATTTTAAAAAATATACTGACCCTAAACTTCAAATTACAATAATTGGGGAGACTAGCGTGTTAAGGAACCAAATAATATATATATTTTTTAGGGGTGTAACGGTTCTCTGTAAAAAAAATAAACTGTTCTCCACCCACGGTTCGGCATACTATACGCTGATTTCACACAGCTGCCGGTGGGAAGAAAACCGGAAGTGTCGCTTTTAATCATAGGAGTCGCGAATGCGATGGCGTATTGTTGTGTTTAAAGTAGAAATTAGTTATTCTAAAAATGTACATACATTTCTTTCATACTTTAGAGTAAACTATATAGTGAAATTCATTTATAAATAAAATGATTTTTTTATATATAATTCAGAACGTAAAAAAAGAAGCAGGAACGAACTATATACATTTTCCTATATTGGATATTAACATCCAATAGTGTAAATCGCAGCAGCAGCTTCAGGTTGGTAGTCCAAGGCATTGTTGTCTATCTGTACTTCCGGGGTTCTTCCCACCGGAGCCTCGCTTTCGATTTCCTCAAAATGGCGGCTGCGTGAAATCAGCGTATTGCGCCGTGGTTCATCTTAAATCTGACGACGCATCTATAATAGGGTTTGTTGAAAATAACAACGCGTAAAACAGACAGAGTTCGGCAAGTGTATGCATTCTGGCTTCCCAAAACGTTACAACCGCGATGAGAAAAAAACGTGGACAAAACAGTCACGTTTATTTGTGCTGTTGCTTGCAGTTTGATTATTTGTTCTTATTTTCTTTTTTATTTGACAGTAGTCCTTTTTCTCCTGAACATAGCCAATGCCGAACCACATATATATTTCTTACAAAGAAAGAATTACCATTTACACTACTATATAACAGATTTGAATGGTTGATCCTGCCAAATACAACACTACAATTGTGCACTTCACTTCACTTCAAAACTAAGAAGATATTGAGCTCACCAAGCTGTGCTAGCAGCTTCCTCTGTTCCTCCAGTATCTCACTCTGGGACATCGCCTGCAACCTTGCCTGATTCTCCTCATGGATTTTCATTGTCTCCATGGTACTATTTGCAATCGCAAGTCCTTGACCTGAAAGTAGCAAGGGGCCACCAACACGCGCTGTAACAGAACCACACACAGAAATTATGGCATGCTTTAGTTAGCCGTGAAAAACTTTCTGGAATGTGATAGCACTCACTCACCCATAACATCTGATTCAGGTCGCTCAGTCTCCATGCTCTCCAATGGTGAGAAGCCCACATGTCTAGATGCAGAAGACTGATCTCTAGTCTCTGAACCATTTAAAGACTGAACATCTTCATTATTAGACCTCTGTGCTGCAATTTGACGTGCAAAAATACTTTTTCTACCTTTAGGAGCTCTTTCCTGCCCCTATGTGCAGTGAAAAAAAAGGCAGAATCGTCAGACAAGTGAACTGAAGAAAGGATTTTTTTTGTGCATGTATAATGTTTTCTCACCTCACTTTCCACCACAGATCTTCGTAAGACTTTAGGGAAAGCAGTGCCTGTGATACATGGGAGCAACACAGGTACTGCACTCGTGTCCCTCTCCTGTTACGAGGGAGACATAACCAATAAGCATGGCATTGTGTTATCATTCAATCAAACAACAGACTGTAATAATTAAATATAACTCACAATGATCCTGGCGAGAACAGCACTGATATGGGTATCATGTCTGTCCAGTCGCTCTTCTGGGCCCTCATCTTCAAAACGCACCCGCTCCTGTTTAAAACGAGACTTCTTTGCAGGGGTCAAGGTGGGAATCTCATCTGGAAGATCTGAAGGTGTAGATACACTAATTTCAGCCCAAAGCTAGTGGTAACACTTTAGAATAATAGTTTATTTTACTGGTGAGTTTAAAATCAGCCTGATCCTATGAATGCAGGTCTAATGAAACTCATCATTAAATCTGTGTATGAAAATGCTAAAAGATGAGATTCAATAACTGCCAGAAAGCTCAGATCTTTCTACATTACCCTCAATAGTCACAACATCTCTGTGTTTTTCCTGCTCATGTGCACCAGCAGCGTCTCCTCTGCGTTTATCAGGGCGCTTCACTACAGTGACAGTGGACTGACCGCCCGCCGCCAGAAGCTCTTGCTGCTCCCGGAGCAGATCCGCCTCGCTGTCTGCGGACTTGGGACGCCGCAACATCCCAAACTCCTGAATTAACACAAGGGAGTCTAGTGTTTCAGAGAAGAGTGTCAGGACTAATACCGACTCAACATTTACCCCTTAAATTTGCATCTTGTACTTCACTGACTTAGTCTTAATGTGTATTGCTTAATATTCTGTAGCCGGGAAGATCGTTTATGCCACGATCCTCTGTCAGCTATTTGGATGAATATGTACTCTAAACACATGAGTTTACAAACGTGTCTCAGCTTCCGGGTTATCTGTGACCATTACAAAATAAAAGCCCTTTCGGTTTAAGAGGTTTTCTGTCTTTAAATAAAATATTGCATCGTTATTAAAAGATATAAAAACACAATTTAACATAAAATAATGAATTTTATGCTATTGTATTTTCTTATTATTCTTTTTATTTTCATTACTGAAATTGAAGTATGTGTTTCCCTTTCACTATCATTTATATTATTATATTATATTATTAAAAATACATAATTTAATAAATATATCATTCACAAAGCTATAAGAGGCTGGTTTTGAGTGATTGGCATTGGCATAAAGGATAATAAAAAATTATATTTGAGCAATAATATCTTAAGAGAAGCTATTACAGCTGTCTTAAAGTCCATGTCTATACCACTACCTTTCCATTATGTTCACTTTGGCAATTTATTTATGTAGCCTACATGTTCATCATCAGTGAAGTTAATATATTAGCAAGGAATTACCTTTCAATAAAATAATTTATACCGTATAAAATGCTTAATATAAAGTAAGTTGAAATTAGTTACATTAATGTTCGTGTTGAATATATCTTCACAGACCCAATTTGTGACAAACTTAGCAAAACAATCTCGTGCATTTCAGTGAGTTTACACATAAACCAAAGAACCAGCTTAGGTCTCCATTTACGAGACTCAGTTCTCGATTCTCTCTCTCTCTCTCTCTCTCTCTCTCTCTCTCTCTCTCTCTCTCTCTCTCTCTCTCTCTCTCTCTCTCTCTCTCTCTCTCTCTCTCTCTCTCTCTCTCTCTCTCTCTCTCTCTCTCTCTCTCTCTCCTCCGCAGTCTCCCCGCGGTCTCCGCCCCCCCAGTCTGCCTGCTTGGGAACACCCAGAGCGGGATCCCCGGCGTTCCTGGCATCCATCCCAAACACAGCCCAGCCGGGTAAAACAACGTCCTAAAGCGTGTTTCATTGAGAAAGGCGAGTATTGCAGATAACATATTTGACTGCAATGTTACACCTGCCGCAGGATGTTGTCTCTAGATCTGGAAACTGACACTATTGCTGAGGACACAGCGCCAAGCTCCCCTGATGGTGGCGCGGAGACACCGGCCAGTCTCGATGTGCTGGAAGAGGTATGAGATGTCTTATGACTGCCATCAGTAGGCTACTGTTTATCATAGTCATGGAGGAGAGGGATGTCTGCATTATATCCCCTTGTAGACTGTAATTGTCTTATTGTGGTTTGACTTCTTCCAGTAAAAGGCTGTTCCACAGTATGTCTGAGATTGAAAAAATGTCATCGTATACTAAATTTACTTATAAAAGAAACTGTGTTAAAGTGATCCCCTTAAAATGTATCTGCTTCCAATTGATGCATATGGTGCACAAGTTATTGATAATCAGCCTATAGGCTAATAAAAGTTCTTTGAAAGAGATTATCGACTGCAGATCATGAGTAATAAACTCATAGGATGCTATACTTATCTGATTTAGGCTGTATGGGTTATACTGGTAGGATAATGTTTGAGACACCTCGTTAATTTTTTTGTGGGTAGCCTATATTAAAATCAGTGCTGCTGCTTGATTCCATAATGACAATAATTTTGACGAGACTTCACATTCACAAGGACAAACGTAGACTTAATTTAGAAAGTGCATTTGTATTTTACACCAGGAGTAGCTCTAAATGCGTTATAAATGTCTAAATGTGTTATATTCACTGCACTCACTCAACCACACTTTATATGATTTGTGTATTGATTAACACCTCTGAAATACACTGCTGTAATTATGGAACTGCAGTTAAGGAAAAGATGCCTGTTACTGTAGCTTGAGAATCACAGAGGGAGTTAGAGCACTTTTTCAGCAGATTTATTGTTGTTGTTTTTAAACCTTTAATATATAGGCTAACACACTAAAAAGTCTGGGACTGATGCTGAGTCCAACCTGCATCTCTGGGTGCATATGGTCTTGTGAATCATTCTGGCATGCCCTGCAAGTTCTGTGAATGTCCCTCGACTTTCAAACAAATCCTGCTTGCTGGATCGCAGAACTGTGATTTGCTTTTTTTTCTGTAAAATTACATTTGAACTGATATGTTGATTTGACTGGTATTTTCAGGATGTTATTCTTTATCTAAAGCAGTAAACATAAAATAAATATTATTGAATTAAATGTGTTGATTATGCTGCATATATTATGCAGTGCCTAAATATATATATACATTCACCGGCCACTTTATTAGGTACCCCATGCTAGTAACGGGTTGGACCCCCTTTTGCCTTCAGAACTGCCTCAATTCTTCGTGGCATAGATTCAACAAGGTGCTGGAAGCATTCCTCATGGAGTTTGGTCCATATTGACATGATGGCATCACACAGTTGCCGCAGATTTGTCGGCTGCACATCCATGATGCGAATCTCCCGTTCCACCACATCCCAAAGATGCTCTATTGGGTTGAGATCTGGTGACTGTGGAGGCCATTTTAGTACAGTGAACTCATTGTCATGAAACCAATTTGAAATGATTAGAGCTTTGTGACATGGTGGAAGTAGCCATCAGAGGATGGGTACATGGTGGCCATAAAGGGATGGACATGGTCAGAAACAATGCTCAGGTAGGCCGTGGCATTTAAACGATGCCCAATTGGCACTAAGGGGCCTAAAGTGTGCCAGGAAAACATCCCCCACACCATTACACCACCACCACCAGCCTGCACAGTGGTAACAAGGCATGATGGTTCCATGTTCTCATTCTGTTTACGCCAAATTCTGACTCTAACATCTGAATGTCTCAACAGAAATCGAGACTCATCAGACCAGGCAACATTTTTCCAGTCTTCAACTGTTCAATTTTGGTGAGCTCTTGCAAATTGTAGCCTCTTTTTCCTATTTGTAGTGGAGATGAGTGGTACCCGGTGGAGTCTTCTGCTGTTGTAGCCCATCCGCCTCAAGGTTGTGCGTGTTGTTGTCACGGTTCATGAATTTACTGTCTCTCTCTCGTCTCGCGTGTTGTTGTGGTGTGTGTGTGTGTGTCTGTGGGCGTGGTCACTGATCACTGCTGATCAGCAGCGCCAGCTGGTTTCAATCCGTTTGTCTCTTTATAAGTTCAGTAACTGGTGTCTCATGTTGTCAGATCGTTGTGGTTTCCCCGGTGTGTTCCCGTGTTGCATGTTGGATCGTGTTCGTGTTGGATCGTGTTCGTGTTGGACCGTGTTCGTGTTGGATCGTGTTCGTGTTGGATCGTGGATTCCCTGTGTACTTTGTCTCATCTGGATTCTTCACCTGCACTGGATTACCAAGCACTTCACTGGGTCTTCACGGGACATCACCAGCACCAGTCGCTCACCGAGGTCCCTGTGTCACCTTCCATCTAGCGCTGATCGCCTGACCTGCACCTGAGGAGAGCGGTCACCTGTGCTAGTGTCTGACCTTCGTGTCTGTGTACACTTCAATAAAGAGTCTTTTGCATTTACATCCGTCTCTGTGATCCGTTACAGAACGATCTGACCATTATTATGGATGTAGCAGAGACCACGACTTGGGACGAATTCGCCGCTCGAAGCATCTCGAGGATGGATAATCAAGAGGAGAGCATCGCCCAATCAGGTCGGGCGATTCAAGCGCTCGTGACACAGGTGTCCGAGCTCACCCAAAGATTTCAACAACTCATACCTCCCACTGCGCCACCCACGCCGCCTGTTCAACCCATTCCACCGGAGCCGCCCCAGCAACGTGAACCTCGTCTTCCTACGCCTGAGGGCTATGCAGGTGAACCAGAGTACTGTAGAGCCTTTTTGACTCGTTGTTCGATGCATTTCTCATTACAGCCACTGACGTTCAGCCAGGAACAGACCAAGGTGGCCTTCGTTCTCACCCTGTTGTCTGGGAGGGCGGCTCTTTGGGGAACGGCGGTGTGGGAGAACCGTTACCCATGCTGCTCCTCGTTCCAGGCACTCTCCGAGGAGATGAGACGAGTGTTCGATCGGGCGGTAGCGGGTAGGGAGGCGGCCAGACTACTCGCTGAGCTCCGCCAAGGTAACGGCTCGGTGTCGGAATACTCCATTCAGTTCCGCACCCTGGCTGCAGAGTGCCGTTGGAACGAGGAGGCGCAGTGGGACCAATTCCTGCATGGGTTGGCTGATCGTGTCCAGAGGGAGATATATATGCTGGACCTTCCCCCTAACCTTAATGGACTGATCGAACTGGCATTAAGAGTAGACGCACGACTGGATCGCATGGGCCGCTTTCAGCAGAGGAACCCGTTTCGCGGCATGGAGACCCTGCGCGTCGACAATCTGGACACGGTCAGCCCCGCTTCCGATTCTGAACCCATGCAGGTGGGCAGAGCTCGGCTTTCCCGGGAGGAGAGAGAACGGCGGAGATCCCAGGGACTTTGTTTGTACTGTGGGAAAGCGGGCCACTTCATCTCCGCTTGCCCGGTAAAAGATCGAGCCCGGTAGTAACAATGAGGCTACTATCGGGTGGGATCTCCGCTGGGAAGACCTCATCATCACCATCATCATCTACTCTCCTTCCGGTAAGACTAAGGTGGGCGACTCACACGCACGACACTGAGGCTTTGGTGGATTCAGGAGCTGAAGGTAATTTTTTGGACTCTGGACTGGCTCAACGTCTTCATCTTCCCATCTCCAGGCTCACACACACGATTTCCGTTAATGCTCTCAATGGACAACGACTTCCCCAGATTTCTCACATTACTGAACCCATCACACTCATAACATCTGGCAACCACACTGAGACAATAACATTTCTTCTCATGGACTCTCCACTAGCACCCTTGGTGCTGGGTCACCCCTGGTTACTGCAACACAACCCCAGAATTGATTGGGGTCACAATTCTGTTTCCATGTGGAGTAATGCGTGTCATGAGTCTTGTCTTGTGTCAGCGTGTTCGTCTATTCCTGTGTCTGTGTTTCAGGAGGAGGCAGTGAATTTGTCTAACGTGCCCGAGGAGTACCAGGATCTGAAGGAAGTGTTCAGTAAGTCTCGGGCTGCTTCTCTTCCTCCTCATCGTCCCTATGACTGTGCCATAGATTTAGTGCCAGGTCAGTCTCCGCCTAAAGGCAAGTTATATTCACTTTCTGTTCCAGAGAGGGAGGCTATGGAGAAATATATTTCTGATTCTCTAGCTTCCAAATTCATTAGACCTTCCTCATCTCCAGCGGGGGCGGGGTTCTTTTTTGTGGGAAAGAAGGATGGATCTCTGCGACCGTGTATTGATTACCGGGGGTTGAACAACATCACGGTAAAGAATACTTATCCTTTGCCGTTGATGTCTTCAGCCTTCGAGCGGTTACAGGGAGCATCCATTTTCACAAAATTGGATTTACGTAACGCTTATCATTTGGTTCGCATAAGGAAGGGCGATGAATGGAAGACCGCGTTCAATACCCCTAGGGGGCACTTTGAATATTTGGTCATGCCTTTCGGGCTGTCCAACTCCCCAGCGGTCTTCCAGGCACTCGTCAATGACGTGCTCAGAGATATGGTTGACCAATTCATTTATGTCTACCTGGATGACATTTTGATTTTTTCATCGTCTCTCCAGGAACATGTTCAGCACGTCAGACGAGTGCTTCAGAGGTTGCTAGAGAATGGGCTTTTTGTCAAGGCGGAGAAATGCGTTTTTCATGCACAGTCTGTTCCTTTCCTAGGGTACATCGTCTCATCTGAGGGAATGCGCATGGATCCTGACAAGGTTAAGGCTGTGATAGATTGGCCTAGTCCAGATTCCCGTAAGGCCCTACAGAGGTTTCTGGGGTTTGCCAATTTTTATCGGCGTTTTATTCGCAACTTCAGCCAGCTAGCCTCACCTCTGACTGCCTTGACCTCCCCCAGAACGACGTTCAGGTGGTCTGATGCAGCTGAGGCTGCATTTACCAAACTCAAGAACCGCTTCAGTTCGGCTCCCATCCTCGTTGCCCCTGATTCATCACGTCAGTTCGTGGTGGAGGTCGACGCGTCAGAGGTGGGGGTAGGAGCAGTTCTCTCCCAGCGCTCTCCTTCAGATGACAAGATGCATTCTTGCGCGTTTCTTTCTCATCGTTTATCACCTGCCGAACGTAATTATGACATTGGCAACAGAGAGTTGTTGGCAGTCAAGTTGGCAC